ACATTATATTTCTCAGATTTTTGTTTTGGGGTTTAAACATATTTTACTGGAAAATTTCGGATAGTGGTAAGTTCACACTATATTTCTGACGTATAAACTAATAACAATTTAAACAATATCGTCTGATTTACATATTATGTATACAATTTTTATATACAAAATATATGTACAAGCTATTATATACCCATAGCAATTGGTTAAATATATTTAATGATTATATTAAAAAGGTAGAATTGATACAAACATTAAGATAAAAAAAAATATTGATTTAGTTAAATAAATGGTATGTAATAAAATCACGCAAAAAGGAATAAAATAAATTGCTCTCTATCAAAATTGCAGCGCTGCATTTTAAATGTTCTTTTATTTTACTTATCTAGTTTTGAATAATATAAGTCAACGATAGACTAATATCCCACATGATTGTATGTAGTGATGAAATCGATGATGATAAAGTGCATTGATTTATCTTAACCAAAATCAAAAGCCTAATCAATCCCGACTTCAAGGCACCCATATTATAATCGGATTAAATGACGCATACGAACGGAGAAGTAAACCGTATGGCTATGTCGGTGATGCTAGCATAGCTTGCCATTAATAACATAGTTATTTCTTATTTTATTTTAATATTAACTGCACTGCTACTTTTATTAATGGAAGAGAAGGCAAGCGAGCATGCGGCTTTCGGCGTTAATCCACAGTCTGATTGTGTCTAAATCGGACAGTTATGGACCGCCAGCCATCGAGATGATCACGGTGGAATTTCAAATTTGGTAGCAGATGCATAGAGATACAACGTTTCTTCGCAAAGCCAGTGAATCAAGCTGATTGGAAAGAACTTGATTATCGAAGATTTGGGCCGCTCTCCGTTGAATACGTTCAAGTGGAAGGAGCTAGTACTGAGGTACCCCGGCCCAGAGATGAAAACAGTATTTCATATGCGGCCGAACCTGCGCTTCGTAACGCTGCAAGCGGTGGGCCGGCATGAAATACCGTCTCGAACTACTGAGCACACCAAGCTTTTTTGATGCCAGCTTAGACTTCCTTCCTTCGACTTCTAAGTAATTGCGGAACTGTACGTCTCTCGAAATGTCGACACCAAGGATTCCGATGATAGCTGAGGCAATGAGGGAAGTGGCCGAAATCGAGGAGTCACGACAAAGAGGTTCTTTTTTGCAGTTTTTTTATGTAAAATTAGGGTGGTGTTTAAACACATGTGAAACTTCAAAGATATCAAAAACTTCTTTCAAAATTATGTCTTTTTCATATTTACATTCTTTAATCATAATTAGGAATTTACTTTTTTGTAACACTGCATCTTTATTATTGATTATTTGCGTTTTATTCATTTACCAAGACATTTATCAAAGTTTATATTGTCAGCATTTCACGGGAAAAGCCCAGCAGCCCTTAAAACATTTTGCAGTATTTCCGGACGAATAGAAATATTCATGGCATTTTCTGAAATCAGTGCAAATTCCAATTTTGTTAGAGCTCGAGATGGACTTTTTCTTCTCTACACACTTTTTTCCAACTATTTTTTAGTGGTTTAAATGCGGACAAATTGGCGGGTTGTAATATTCTTGTGGCGTTTGAATAAAGAGTGATAAGGATGATTTGTAATTCTGAACAAAGTTGACTGACACTTAGTGTTACGTGTGTTTTATGTCCGTCAACAAACAGGATGACAGGAATTTTTTTTTTAATTTATTTATTAATGTATTTATGAAACAGTGGTTTTACTTAATTCTAAACTCGCCAAACTTTTACGTTTGATGGCGAGAGGCGCTCTTTTACAAAACAATGAACCACCTTATGTAATACTAATATTAGACACAATGATACACAATTATATAATATAGTAATATATAAACCTATGACATCTTAATGTTATGTTAACTATATATCTTTATATACATCTAACTTTAATTATATGAATTAAATATCTATTACTTATATATTATATTGTAATGTTTTAATCTAATACAATGTACTCGTATATAGTTCTATTAACAATCCTGTATAATGTTTTTCAATTTTTTCTTAAGTGCTCCTTTACTCATTTTTACTTTTTCTCTTAGTAGATCTATTTTGTTAAACACTTTAGCTACCAAATACTTAGATGTTCTCTTACCATAATAGTTCGTTATTTTTGGTAGAACCAGTTTGTTTTCTCGAACCCTATGTGTGTTGTACTTGTTTTTAACATTCACTTTATATTTCTCATTATAATAATATTCCAGACCTATCAAATATTCTACTTTTTTATCTATGGGTATTATTTTACAAATGGAAAACAACTTATCATAGTCTTTGTTGCAATTATCTTTAACATTTTTACTAACTAAAAACTTCATCAGTCTTATTTGTATGTCTTTGATATCTCTTAGATATGTAATAAAGGTTCGCCCGTATACAAGGAGTCCATAACTCATAAGCGAGTCAGCAAGTGCAAAATATATTATTTTTAACGTTTTTTTGTTCAATACATTTTTTAATTGGTAAAACTTACTTAACACAGATCTTAGCCTATTGCAAATGTCATTTATATGTATTCTCCAGTTAAAGTTCTTATCTATTGTTAGACCTAAATATTTAAATTTATCTACATAATCCAATATTTTACAGTTACAGTTAAATTTATTTCTATGCATACATTCGTATGTATGTCCTATCACTGTTATATTTTAATTTTTTAAACATTTAGCATTTCTCTTATATGGCGAGTGTATATGCATACATTTAGTTTTTTCAAGATTTAATATAATGCCATTGTCGTGTGCCCATTTGCTAATGTTTTCAAAATCACCTTGTATGCACTTTTGTACCTCAGTTATATCTTTGGATGCATAAACAAGACACATATCATCAGCATACATGAACACCTTACAGTTATGCACGACATTCGACACAGTATTCACATACATTATATACCCCACAGGGCCATACACCGATCCAGTAGGCACACCCGAATCGACATCCGCCTCTTTCCCAACCACTTGGGAGATAATTGTACTTATTTTTCTATTAGTGAGGTAGTTTTTAAACCAATTGTTTGTGGGACCGCGTATTCCGCATTCGTCCATTGCCTGTAATAAGATCTTGTGGTCTAAAGTGTCAAACGCTTTTTTAAAATCAATAAAAAGTACTATAATTTGTTTACCAGAATCTAGGCAGTCATTAATATAATCTGAAAATTTTATCAAAGCAGAGACGGTGTTGCGCCCTCTCCGAAAACCGTGCTGTGTGTCACACAGTATGTTATATTGTTCTAAGAACGCGCTAATCTGTCCTACAATAATTTTTTCAACTATTTTATCTATAACAGATAATATTGCAATGGGCCTATAATTAACATATTCTAAATGACTTCCTGATTTGTATATAGGACGTATAATTGCTTTTTTTAACTGGTCAGGATAAATACCATTAGATAAGGACATATTTATTAGTGAAGCTATAACAAGACTTATTTGTTTACTTAAATATATAATGTCTTGCGCCCGTATTCCATCTGAACCGGGTGCTTTCAGACAGGACAATGTCCTTATGACCTTTTCTACATCTGACGGAGTCACCCTACTGTATCTATAGCTTACCTCACTCGGTTTTACATATTTATTTCTATCCAAAAACTTCAAATTACATACATGTTTAATTCCCTTTATTTCATCCGTAAATGTTTTAGAAAATTTTGTACAAATCTGTTTTATACTATCTGTTTTTCCTAAATGCCTTAAAATAATATCATCTAAGCTAGTTTTGTTTCGACCCAACCACATGTTTATATTTGTCCATATTTTCCTAAAATCTCCATTACAGTTTAAAATTTGTTCCTAAATTTTGTATAGACTAATCGCTTGTTCATATTCTTTGGATCCGTTTTCCAAACTCTAAATAAATAATCCCTTCTCAGTAACATTGTATATAAATATTTATCTATCCATGGATGTCTTATTACTTTTTTTCTATCTACCTTAAATTTAATTGTACTTTCCTTGTAAATATTATAAAATACACTACACATCGTCTGATACAATAATAATGGCCACGTTATTGTAATTAACTGGGCCCAATTATATTCATACAGCTTTTGTTTAACAGTTTTGTCACTTAACACTTCAAACATACTATGTTATTTATATTGCCACTCACACATTGATTTTCGTTTCGACTAACACATAAATTCAACATTAATCCTATTCCATGATGATCGGCGATGTGTGACTCAAGCACATAGGCGCACGCGTCATGCTCGCTCCTTCCCGCTCGCACCCAGATATGATCCAAGCACGATGCCGGCCCTCCACGATCGCTTCGCGCGTTGTCTGCTCGGTATTACACATAACAGACCGCATTCACACAGGGCGTTTTTGTACCTTGTTATAGTAGGATTAACCGTGTCATTTAATATGTTTATATTGGTGTCCCCAATCACTATTACATTGTCAGATGCTGGTACGGATTTAACTAGTGTCTCTAATTGCTGGATAAATATCAGTTTATTATTGGCAGGTGGTCTATATATTGCGATTACATGTGTTTTAGTTTTCCCGTGCTTCAATTGACCATGAAGTGTTTCCACTGCTTCTGTGTTTACCATTTTAGCTTCGAAATTCAATCTATTCTTAGCGTATATTAATATTCCTCCTCCTCTTCTCGTTTCTCTAGTATATATAAATGTATTATATCCCACTATTTGGTACAATGGAAGTTCTTCCTTCTTAATATTTATTTCGTTTAAAATTAATATATCTATGTTATACTTATTTTTATCAAGTAGTATTAATAACTCGTTAAAGTGTTTCCGAAGAGATCTTGTGTTCAGATGTAATATATGGGTATTCCATATATTTTGAGATAGGTCATTATTTAAAGCCATTATATCATAGTATCTTTTAAAATTAAAATTAAAATTACCGGAGAAGCTATCTATACAATCGAATGTTGTTGTTGGATATCACGTCGTGTGTACTCGCCGCGTTATGTACGCGTATTTATTTACATTCATCGAACTTTTGCAAATCTTCCTCCGATCTAATGTTGTAAATCTTTTTTTCTTCACTATTCTTTTTGACCAGGACACTACCATTCTGCACCCAAATATATTGAAAACCTTTCGGCTTGAGTTTATTTCTTACAGTCCAAAGAAGCTGTCGTTTGTATTTTGGTAAATCTTCGTTAATGTATATTCGCTTTTCACTGCCATTATCATAGACTTTATTATTCGTTATTTTGGTTTCTTTCTTTACAAGCATCCAGCTGTTGCGAGCAGATTTCGATCGAAGCGTGACCAACACAGTCTTCGGCTTTGCGTCATCCGGTTTTACATGTCCTACCCTCTGTGCATCTTGAATTTCATTTGGGTCTAGATTTAGTTTCTCTGCCATTTTTTGGACTACTAATATAGTATTTTCGTTTTCTTGTTTCTCTAATCCGTGAATTTCAATATTTTTCTCTTTATCTTTCATTTCCAACTCCTGTACCCGTTCTTCTAATGCCTTGTTACATTTCTCCAAATATACATTTTTTTGTTCTAATGCCTTAATTTTCTTTTGAGATTCTTCTTTAAAATCAAGTAATTTCTGATACATATCAGCATAGAATTCAACACCGTTGGTAAGTTCTTCTATTTTCTTCTCCACGCTATAAATCACCGCTAACTTTTTATTTACCTCAGCCAAAACGTAATCTCCAGACTCTTCACTAGGATTTAATGTGATTTTCGTATCATCTACGGACTGTTTAGGGCTGCTTTTATTTGTCTGGCAGTCGTCGCAGAGCATACTACTTAGGAACTTTTTATTTACACATTTTTTATGGTAAACATTTTCACATTCTCCCTTACATCTCACTACATCCTCTTTAGCCAAAGATAGAAACAGTTTGCATTTCTTACATTGCACCATTTTCACTTATGCTTAGTTAATTATTTGCAAAATTGTTATTTGGTCACTGCTAACGCACTTAAATCGATACACACAACCGTGCATTGAGCGCGCGCGCACGGAATGTGTTGTTGCAGTTTCATATTTCCTGATACAAACAGAGTTAAGATAGACTTTTATGGTATAGCTAGATTCAACAATGTACTGGGCTGTATTCATTGCACATATGTAAAAATTCAAATGAGAAATTATATATAGAACATTGGAGAATACTTGTTTACTTATACTAATATGAGAAATCAAATTAAGCTCGACACTCGATGCATCAATTAATAAGTTATGTATTCATTCATGCATCGAGTGTCGATAAGGGTAAGGCCACGTACGCATAGAATACTAGCTAGTCAGTGATAAGGTGTGTGAAGAGAACAAGAGACTTATGCTCACTTTCACCAACGACCTCTAATATTTATGGGACTCCTTAGCATATTTAGGGGCCAGTTAGGGGATAGTTTCCGTTTCACCACATTTAAAGGGCCCATTACTGACTAAACAATCCCCTAAATTTATGAGATGGATTATTGGTCCCATAAAATTTCACGTAAATAAGAGCGACGTTTAGAGGACAAGATGGACCGTGATCTATTTGATTTTCTTGATAATTTAGACACGACTGATACTATATTTGATATAAATCGTAGTTGAAGACCTAAAATATATCAAAAACGACCAAATTATATGAACGATTTCGATGAAATAGGTTTTTCCGAAGATATAGGTTATCTTAACCAACAGTGATATATTTGTTGGAAAAAATTGAAAATTTTTATTTATGTAGGTACCATAGTCCATAATATTATTAAATTTCTAGTTTATATAATATTTAGCTTAATAGGTGGGTTCTATATTTTCACTTATTACTACCTATTATACCTAGCTACGAAATAAGCGTAAAAGCATAAAAGGTTACTTTATTTGCTCTCCTAACAGTAACTTTTGATTGGGGAATGAGTCTGTATAGTTAGGCCGTAGGTACCTGTTTGGTGCTAACTTACCTACCGTGGTAAGTTAATAACCGAGGTATATCTACTTAAATACCTACCTATTTAAATTTGTAGAATTTGTGATTCACTTTACCCATACCACCCATAAATCAATTATAAATAGCTTTAAGATATTAATCCACAGGCAATCACTGGCTTGCTGTGGCGGATTGGTTAGTACTAGTTTAGCTACATCCAGCCGGATAGTAAAGAGACTGTCTTAAGCAATAGTATCCCTACGTCGAGAATTCATCATATTTCCTGATACAGAGTTAAGATAGACTTTTATGGTATAGCTAGATTCAACAATGTACTGGGCTGTATTCATTGCACATATGTAAAAATTCAGTCACCAGGTAAATTGATCATTTTGATTTAACTTCCTTTCACCAAAAGTTCATTTCTCTTAGAATTCTATCAAGCAACACTGATGAAGTATTATTTATATCTTTAGGTGGAGATGAAGCAGAACTGTTTAGAAACAGGAAAGGCTACATGTCTATAAATATCCAAACAATTTCATCGGCAAATTTGTTGGTGCAGAATGTTGTTGCACTCCGAAGAAACTGACATTTTTCACTGCAGCCTGGCAAAGTTCACAGAAGCGGCGCACAGGGTCTGTGAGATTTTTTCATATTTTTTTTCTCTATTTATATATTTTTTTCTTAATTATAATAGTATTATGCATATATTTTATGTCTGTAGTTATATTCATCACTTGTTATTTGGTTTTTGTACAGCATCTTCTTGGTTTTGTACTGTTATGATGCTGTGTTTGTAATAAATAAATAAAATAAATAAATAAATAAAATACTTGGGGATAGTGGCTATCCCTTAAAGGTTAAAATTAAAAATATCCAATAATAATAATAATAATAATTGTATTGTATTGCACACTACATTAACCAATCACTTCTTTCTGTTCATATACCACCCGATTCAGACTTTCACTCAATTCAAAATGCTATATATTGTGGAGCTGCTACAGTTTCAATTTACAACGAATACAAAATAATGGACCAAGAAAATAACACCTTACGTCGGTAGAAAATAATCCCTAAATGGCAAATGAGACTAGAAGACAGAATTTCAAATCTTAGAGTTAAAATAGGGAGACTAACGGAATATATAAATGGTAATACAAGCACTAAGCTCAAACGCGAAATAGAAAAATCAGAGCAGTTTATAAAATACATTCACTACATGAACACGCAAACAAGGAACTTAGTTTACTTACAAAACGACTACGTAGATATAAAGAAACCACTCTAAAAAAACAATGAAATGCGCAATTTTATAATAATGAAAAATCATTCCACAGAAACCTAACAAACACACATGACAATAATGATAATAATAAATTAGTAGAGATACCCGAAACAGAACCGCTGCATCAATTTTGGTCCAATATATAGTCAACTCCCAAAACACACCGAGAAAGCGACTGGATTAAACAGGATAGGGAACTATTAGTAAATTTACTAAAGATGATGTTCGATGAAATTAACATGGATTTATTAACTTCAGTTATTAACAAAACATAGCTGGAAAGCTACTGGAACTGATAAAATCCATAACTATTGGTATAAAAAATTTACTTACTTACATCCGCTCTTACTCTCACATATCAACACTTTTATAAAAACACCAGAATTATTGCCAAGCTACATTACACTAGAAACAACTTATATGTTACCTAAAGACCGAAGTGACTCAAAAAATCCAGCCAAATACAGGCCAATTACTTGCCTTCAAAACATTTATAAGATTTTTACGTCTTGCCTTAGCAAATTAATTAACAAGCACGCTATCTCCCAAAATATATTAGCAGAACAACAGAAAGGATGCAGAAAAGGTAGTTTAGGTTATAAAGAACAGTTGGTTATTGTAACAATCGTCTCTAAACAAGCAGTCACCAAAAAGAAAATATTTTCACTATGTTTATTGACTATAAAAGCGTTTGAATCAGTACCCCATAGCTGGCTAATATATACTTTAGAACACTATAAAATTTATCGTCAAATTATAGAATTCCTAAAAAACGCAATGCTCTATTTGCGAACTACTCTCAAGCTTTACAATGGTGACTGTTGTTTAGATACTGATATAATCTCAATCCGAAGGGGAATATTTCAAGGTGATACCTTAAGCCCCATTTGGTTCTGCCTGGCTTAAATCCTTTATCTAACCTTCTCAATAGAACTGACAAGGGATATCAAATCACCAACGGAAATACACACCACACACTATCACATTTACTTTATATGGATGACATAAAATTGTATGGAAGTAGTTTAAAATATATACATATTACAATCAAATCCGTAGAGGCAAATCAGAACAAAATTCATATACCCTCCAAACAGGTGAAACCATTGAACCTGTAGATGAAAACATTGGCTATTAATATCTAGGATTCACTCAGACTCGACAAATTCACCAAAAACTCGTGAAAAAAAAAATAAAAAAAAATTTAAATTACGCCTAAATAGAATAGGGGGAGGCATTGGCCGTTAGTTTGGACATAGCGAAGGCCTTCGATCGGGTCTGGCACAAAGCGCTTCTTTCGAAGCTTCCTTCCTATGGGCTTCCCGAGAAATTGTACAAGTGGATCACCAGTTTCCTTGCTGATCGGAGCATCAAGGTGTTTAAACACATGTGAAACTTCAAAGATATCAAAAACTTCTTTCAAAATTATGTCTTTTTCATATTTACATTCTTTAATCATAATTAGGAATTTACTTTTTTGTAACACTGCATCTTTATTATTGATTATTTGCGTTTTATTCATTTACCAAGACATTTATCAAAGTTTATATTGTCAGCATTTCACGGGAAAAGCCCAGCAGCCCTTAAAACATTTTGCAGTATTTCCGGACGAATAGAAATATTCATGGCATTTTCTGAAATCAGTGCAAATTCCAATTTTGTTAGAGCTCGAGATGGACTTTTTCTTCTCTACACACTTTTTTCCAACTATTTTTTAGTGGTTTAAATGCGGACAAATTGGCGGGTTGTAATATTCTTGTGGCGTTTGAATAAAGAGTGATAAGGATGATTTGTAATTCTGAACAAAGTTGACTGACACTTAGTGTTACGTGTGTTTTATGTCCGTCAACAAACAGGATGACAGGAATTTTTTTTTTAATTTATTTATTAATGTATTTATGAAACAGTGGTTTTACTTAATTCTAAACTCGCCAAACTTTTACGTTTGATGGCGAGAGGCGCTCTTTTACAAAACAATGAACCACCTTATGTAATACTAATATTAGACACAATGATACACAATTATATAATATAGTAATATATAAACCCATGACATCTTAATGTTATGTTAACTATATATCTTTATATACATCTAACTTTAATTATATGAATTAAATATCTATTACTTATATATTATATTGTAATGTTTTAATCTAATACAATGTACTCGTATATAGAGTTCTATTAACAATCCTGTATAATGTTTTTCAATTTTTTCTTAAGTGCTCCTTTACTCATTTTTACTTTTTCTCTTAGTAGATCTATTTTGTTAAACACTTTAGCTACCAAATACTTAGATGTTCTCTTACCATAATAGTTCGTTATTTTTGGTAGAACCAGTTTGTTTTCTCTAACCCTATGTGTGTTGTACTTGTTTTTAACATTCACTTTATATTTCTCATTATAATAATATTCCAGACCTATCAAATATTCTACTTTTTTATCTATGGGTATTATTTTACAAATGGAAAACAACTTATCATAGTCTTTGTTGCAATTATCTTTAACATTTTTACTAACTAAAAACTTCATCAGTCTTATTTGTATGTCTTTGATATCTCTTAGATATGTAATAAAGGTTCGCCCGTATACAAGGAGTCCATAACTCATAAGCGAGTCAGCAAGTGCAAAATATATTATTTTTAACGTTTTTTTGTTCAATACATTTTTTAATTGGTAAAACTTACTTAACACAGATCTTAGCCTATT